TACTGTGTGTGTTGGGGTTCTCCTCTTAAACTAGGTTGTTGTGGCAATGGACTACCCTAGATTTCCTCTTGAGAAGTTCAGTATCTGCTTTGAGACTGCCTGTCTGGAGGGATCAGAATTTTGCTTGTAATTCCATTGTTATGGACAGGTCACTCTGGACAGTTTTAAACCAGAGAGGGACCCATGGCTGCTATCTAATGGTCCAACCTAAAGGCCGGTGAATCCAGATCATTTCTTAATGTGTGCAAGTAGAGGAATTTGTGGGCAAATGGATTTGAATGTGGGGTGGGGCCCTTCTCAAGACCCATTTGCAAACTTATTCCAGGGCAATGGATATAGCTAAGAGGTCTCACTTCTCTGCTTCCATTGAGTCTGCCCAGAATAGGCCAGTGACGCTCTTCCATACTGTGCGACTTCTTTGCACCAAGATGTTGGATGAAGGTAGCTGGAACAGTTGGTAGTTCACTGTGACCAGTTCTCATTGGTTACTTATTCATAGGTTGGGTGTCTATCCTGCCTTTTCTCCGGGAGCTCAAGGTGGCATATATAGGGCTTCCTCCTTCCTTTCTATCCCCACAACAACTCTGTGAGGTCAGGGATGCTGAGAGAGGGAGAACAACTGGCCCAAAGTCCCCCAGGGAGCTCTGTGGCTAAGGGTGGGCTTGCTCCTATTCTTAGTCCAACACCTTCATCACTACACCATGTTGGCTTATTGTTCTTGCAAACAAGGTCATCTGCAAAATCTTCAGTGCCAGTGTTGAGGAAGGTCATTGGAAGGTAACCATGGAAATGACTTGTCACATTCCTATGATTTTTTTTTCACCTTGCAGGTATGGAGGATGTGGACAGAATGGGTGGAAAGATTAAAGCCACTTCCTTCTTCAAGCCTGGTTATTATCAGCCAGGTCAGGACTGGCGCCATAATTATGGGAGGTGATTAATGTATCTTAGAATAAGAGATGTATAACTCTCTGCTTAACTCTGCTTAAGCCCTTATTGAAAAAGCCCTTCATGGACCTGAAATATCTTTCTAATTATTGACCAGTCTTTAATCTTCCATTCCTGAGTAAAGCAACTGAGAAAACAGTAGCCTCCTAGCCCCAGATGTCCCTGGATGAAATAAGCTGTTTGGACCTATTTCATTTGGGGTTCCCCAAGGATATGGTACTGAGCCTGTTCTGGTCCTCTTGGTAGATGGCCTACACTGGCAACTAATGGGGGGGGAGTAGATTCCACTTGCTTTCCTGGATCTGTCAGCAGCCTTCAATACCAGGAATGATGAGATCCTTCTGAGCATCTGGCAGAATTGGGCCTTGGTGAAACTGTTTTGCAGGGGCCCTTCCTGTCAGGAAGTATCCCAAACGTGGGCTCTGGAGGACTCCTGCTTGATGCCCAGATCTCTGACCTAGAGTGTCTCTCAGGTCTCTCTCTTGTCCCCTGTGCTGTTTAACCACTACATGAAACCTCTAAGGCAGTGTTGTCCAAACTTGGCCACTTTAAGATGAGTGGACTTCAATTCCCAGAATTCCCCAGCCAGCATGGCTGGCTGGGGAATTCTGGGAGTTGAAGTCCACTCATCTTAAAGTGGCCAAGTTTGGACAACACTGCCTTAGAGGTTTCATGTAGTGGTTAAACAGCACAGGGGACAAGAGAGAGACATGGCTGGCTGGGGAATTCTGGGAGTTGAAGTCCACTCATCTTAAAGTGGCCAAGTTTGGACAACACTGCCTTAGAGGTTTCATGTAGTGGTTAAACAGCACAGGGGACAAGAGAGAGACATGGCTGGCTGGGGAATTCTGGGAGTTGAAGTCCACTCATCTTAAAGTGGCCAAGTTTGAACAACACTGCTCTAAGGGAAATCTTTTGGATCTTGGGAGTGGAAGGTCATCAGTATGTTGAGGTCACCCAGCTCTATTGCACCTTGCAGTCTGATTCCAAGGAACCCATTAGCATCCATGAATTTATTATCTCTCTTCCAGCCCTTCCTCAGGTTTAAGTGACCAACTGAAATTTAATCCTGACCAGACAGAGGTGCTGTTGGTAAGAAGAAGGAACAGCTTTGTAATTTTTGGCCTTCAGCTCTCACTAATTTGCAGATGATATCTATGGCGAGGAGGGCATTTGGACAGCTACAGATAGGTGGACCAACTGAGACTCTTCCAAAGCTGGTTAGAGTTAGCAACAATTATCCATGCCACGCATATATCATGTTCTCTACTGTTGCAACATGTTTTATGTGACACTGCCTTTGAAAAGTGTCCAGAAATTGATCAATTGGTGCAAAATGCAGTGCCCAAGCTTCTGAGTGGTGCAATGTACAGGGATCATATGACGCCTGAAAGATCTCCACGAATGCACTTATTGGGCACAATTTAAAGTGCTAGTGTCCACGTCTCTAAACCCCTAACGCATTGTGACCTGACTCTCTGTCTCTTCCACTCTGAACTCTTGATGGTCTCACCTTTTCCAGAATCTTGACTAGGTGGGTCCACAGGTGAGGGGTGAAAAAGGTCAAGATGGCAGCCACAATCATGTGGTGGGTATCCCACCCTTTTCCACATCTGTCAAACTTGTTTCTATCTTGACTTTTTTCACCTACCCCTTGCGAACACCCTGAGCTTGACCATCTGTTGCAAGGTTCCTCAACCTTGGCAACTTTAAGACGTGTGGACTTCAATTCCCAGAATTCCTCAGCCAGTTGAAGTCCACACGTCTTAAAAGTTGCCAAGCTTGAGGAACCCTGATCTAGTGTGTGGCTCCCAATTGATGGGATACATTCCCAAGAAGACATCGTGTTCTCCACTTCCCAGTATTTAGGAAAACAGCGAACAGCCATCTCTTTCATCAGCTTTTCATTAATAGCTGAATTGATATTTTATTGTAACGAGACTGGTTTTAAGTTTGTCTTGATTTTAATTGCCTCATTTGTATCCTCGTGCTTTTTCATTTGTAATTTTAACTGCAACAAGCCACTTTGGGCACCAGAGAGAGAGAAAGGAAGCATATATATTTCATAAATATTCACAAATAAATAAATAAGCCCCAGAAGGGTAGGCCATGTGAAGCATCGTTCAGCAAAATCACCAGAGAATCTTCTGGAATTTTAAAGCAACATTTATTTTTACAAGGGAACTTTAATTTAGCGGGCTTCGGTGCAACAGACTAGAAGGGAACACTCAACATTCTTGTTGGAGTGACACAATTTTGTGTGATGATGCAATGATGCAAATGAGCCAAAAGATTAAAATGATGCAATTTGCATCAGTTCCATAACGGTGTCCCCACAGACAATACGCTGTCCAATTTAATGGACACTCGGGAATAACAGACACTACCCTCCCACAATTGGTCTGTTAAACTGAGGTTTCATTTCACTAGAGATTTCAAGGCCAATTAAACAGACTGTGATCCATCAACACTGTAACAAGAAATGGCTTGTCTTTAAGGTGTCACAGTTTTGGATGGGAACATAGATCCTTATGAGCATTTTCTTTTAGACAGGCACAGTAAAAAGAAAATAAAACCTTTCCCAAATGCGAACTGTCCCTTTCAACAGTAAGAAATGGTATAATTCATGTTATCTGTTCATTGCACAATTAGATCCACCTCTATGCTGGATTAAGACTGGGTTCATATGTTGCACAAAGCCTTCGTTTGTTTAACCATGGCTTATTGAATAAACCAACATTTTCTGAATTTGCCCAACATGCTAAACTATGGTTTACAAACAACAAAATCAGAATCCAAAGAACACACCAAATCAAACTCTGTGATTTAGCCTAGTGTGTGACACCAGCCAAATTCTTGCTCAAAGAGGTTTTTTTTTCCTTATGCTTTATTTTTAAAATGACACTTTCTTCTTTTTGTAATTATAAATGGAGGAATTTCTGGGGACGGGTGGGGTATCTGGAGCCTTAATATTAAAAGAAATTGGCAAGGCAACTGCACTGCATTTAATTTTCACTCACTCTTTGAAATCTGGAATCTCAAATGATCCATATTTTCTGGAGTGTGACCGCCTACGTTTAAATTAATAATTCATTAATAAATTAATGAAGGTCACCTTTCACTTAGCCACATCTGAATGATTTCCATTTTTAAACTTCCTGCTGACAAATTTCCCACTACGGTGGTCCCACGCTGGCTATCATTAATGTTTCATGGTTTGCACCCAAGTAGCAATTTTATCCGCACATTGCAGGGAGTTATTCCAACTTCAAAATCAGGAGACCAGGCAAAGGAGTGTCTGTCACCAAAGACGCAGTCAAGTTGTGGAAATGAGGTTTTTGCTGGTGTGGGTTTTGTGTGCTTATGAGTTGATCTGTGAGTTCCGTTTCAAGGCTCTGCTTCCACAAACACGGAATGCCCCTTGTGCAAATGTTGCTGAGCTGTACAAGCTCGGTCACACGTGCGTGGGTCCTGATCTGTGGCTGGGAGAGGCAGCGGCCGATGTACAAGGCGACACAGAGGTTGCTATTGCTAAGAGATTGCAGCAAGAAAAAGGAGAGTAGCCTAGCTCAAATGCCAACTTTAACTGTACTTGATGGAAGGTCACAGCAAACCTCCAGGAAGGGATTTGGGGCCTATCTCTTCAATGTAGGCGTTGTGGTTGTAGAACAGTCGAACAGCTACAAGGAAAAATGGTACGTGAGTTCTCTCTGTAACACAGAAAAGTTGGTGGGGGGACTCGAAAAGTTTCCTTGAGTCTCACTGCTTCGGAAAGAAGTCCCTATTCCCCATGAAGTAAAAAATAAATATTTGGTTCCCCAAAGTGCTGCCCTCGTGGGCTTTTTTAAAGTGTGAGTGTTAGGCATAATTAGTGGGTGCCTGAGAATGGATTGAAACAGCTTCTGTGCACGTCTTTCTTTGAGGAGATGAAATCCCCCATTTTTGAGCTACACAACAATCCTTCAATAGGAAAAGCTGCCTTGCATTACTGTCCTTCCAGTTAATTCTTCAGAAGGAAGGGCTGTAACGGATCCCTCCTATCTGGAGAGGTATCAGCAGCTCTGCATGACATTTGTCACCTCGGTCATCTGAATGACCTCATTCTCCACCAAAGTTTGTCCCCTTTCTCCATCAAGCTGCCTCATTCTCAGGTTTATGGATCCGTAAGTCTTTCGGGGGGCTCTGGAAGCTGGGAATGTCCTCCTCCTATAGAGCTCCCCTTTATACATGGACACCATCAAGAGCACAGAGAGGAGCATACCCCCCAAAGTTAACATGACCAAGCCAGCAATGATGCACTTGTCCAAATGGGAGCTCAGGTGGGCATAGTACAGCTCCAGTCTCTCCATCTCCCGGGCAGACACTGTATCTGGGTCCACCCGGGCCTCGCGTGGAATGCTGTAAGCAACAATCACGAGCAAAATCCCACTTACCAAGAACACCAGGGCCAAAATGAAGCCATAGTCCACAGAGTTCCCAGTTGGGTCTGACAATGGGGCATCCTCTGACCTTGGGGAAAGGTCACCTGCGGGAGGTGCTGGGTGTTCCCTGGGGCTGCCTGGTCCTTTCTGGAAAGAGGTTTCCTCCTCCTCTTCCTCCGTCTGGTAAGAGGCATTCTCAACTCCTGCCCCAGGAGCTGTCTGTGGTACAGAAGGCCTTCCTCGTCTTGCTCTCTGGCTGAACGCAGGCTGATTCTCTAAGACTGTCAGTTCCAAGGGAATTGTGGACGCCATTGGAATGATGTCCCCTTGGTCATCCCCCTCAGTGCTTCACCTGCTGGTATATAAAAACAGACAAGCATCAAACTGATGGGAACTTGCACCTTAGTGTACATCTGTCACATGTTTGTCCTATTCTACCAGCTCTGTCAAGTCTTCCTAGATATGGAGACAGAAGTCATCCCTGAAAGAATGCAGCATTCAAACATCTGGAAATAAATTCTATCGTAGATTTATAGAGCTAGAAGGACCTTATGTGTTATCAGAGTCAATCAGTGTAATAGGTTACTGCATGGAGGTGTTTCTTCCCCTTCACTGGAAGTTTTCAAACAGAAACTTGGGGATTCATTGTAGTGAATCCTGCAATGTGCAGGGGATTGGACTTGACAACCTCTTGGGTCTCTTCCAACTCTATGATTCCATAGAGTTTAGAACCTTGTCCAGTAGAGATGTCAGACTAGAAGCTCCTTCGTTTTCTGCATTCTCCTTCTTCCCCTCTTTGATGCTGGGGATGACACTTGGTCTCCTCCAATCTTCTGTGATCTCTGCAGTCCTCTAGGAGTTCTCAGAAATGACCAAGAATGGTTCTATCATCACTGCTAGGGCCTTCAGTACTCTGTCCTGTAATCCATCAGGCCCTGGAGACTTGAATTCATTTAAATTAACTAGCTTCTCTCTTATCTTCTCCTTGCCTATCCTAAGCTGCAGTTCTCTCTTTCCCCAAGGGAATAATGATGACCAGTTAAGGCTCCATTTTCCTTCTGAGAGAAGACAGATGAACAAAGTTAAGGAGTTCTGCCTTCTCCTCAGCACCTACTACTGCTTTGCTACTTTCACCTTGCAATGGATCTACACTCTTTTTTACTTTCCTTTATTTCTAACATACCTAAAGACCTTTTGTTATTATTGTTGTTATTTTTGCTATCTCTCACAAGTCTCAGCTCCTTTCAAGTTTTAGCATTTCTGGCAGAGTTCCTACAGTTTCTGGAGATGCTCTTGTATTCTTCTTTGATTACATTCTTCTCCTTCCCTTTCCTATTCAATGTCCCTTTTTTTCTTCAGTACTTGGGAGAGCTCTACATGTATCCACACTAACCTCTTAAGATTTTTCCCATTTTTCCTTCTTGCGGGGATTGTTTGCAATTGTGACTTCACTATCTCATTGTGCAGAAGTTCCCATCCTTCTTGGGCACTTTTCCCCTTCAGGATTTCAAGCCATTGAATCTGACCTACCTTCCCTCAGAGTTCATCATAATCCATTTTTCTGAAGTTCAGTAGGGCAGGTCTGACTCTTCTCAGTTCCTCTGCCCCTGAATATCACAGATTCAAGGAAACATAATCACTTCTTTTCAAGGTGCCAGTCAGCTTCACTTCTTCAATCAGTCCCTCTCAGTTAGTGAGGATTAGGTCCAGGATAGCAGAGTCTTTTGTTCTTTCTTCCATGTTTTCACAAATGAAGTTGTCAACAAGAAAGGACAAAAACTTGTTGGACCTCTCATTCTTGATACAGCTAAATTCCCAACTGATGTCAGGACAATTGAAATCCCACATTTTGTTCATCCCTCTCATTATCATTTGTCTTCGCCACACTGTGTCCAAATTCCTTCATTGCTTGTAGGACCTGCTTTCATACCCTGGGCCATTTGTCTTGCTTTTGGAGACTCAGCTCTGCCACGTATCCAACCTTCTTAAAGAGGGCCCAGACTGAACATGGAGCTCCAGATAATGTCAACCCATTTCAACATGAGCCAGAACAATTTTGATTTTTCCTAACTTGGAAACTATGGTCCTATTAATGAGAGAGGCTCAGGTGTGCAACCAATGGATCAACATTCAGACTAGGAAGGTAAACAGGGTCAAACCAGGTTAGCACTCAAATGGGAGACCACCAGACATTTTCAGGCTGCAGGCTAGACTGGAAAGTAAAAAAAAAAAAAAACCAGAAAGAAGCCATATTGCTACCAAGAAAACTACGTGGATGTGTTCAGGTCATCAGAAGCTGAGCTAGTCTCAACTGGGGCCTTACTTCCAGTTGAGTCTAGCAATATCTGACCAGCCATGGCTGAACCTTGGAAAAGCTAAGCAGGGTTGGGCCTATTTAGATGGGAGGCAACAAGGAGTCCTAGGCCGAAAGTTGGAAAAAAAATCTCCAAAGAATATTTTTAACCCTTCTACTTGCCCCCCTTTTCCCCCCTTAATTTTCTGGCGCCTTCCTTTGCTCTCTCACGCCGGTACAACCTTGGCATTCCTGCAGCCTAGATAAAGCGAAGCTATCTGCACTAACCATTATATACCTTCTTGGCATCCCCCTCCCCCAATGCAATTATGGCAGAACTGAGCAAGCTAGCAGTTACAATTAATCAAGGCACTTAATTGCGAGGTTCTGACATTCTCCTCCTCCAGGAAAGATGGATAAGCAACACGAGGAATCAAATCTGTAATAAGAACAAAAGGGAAACGAGAAAAAGATATATTGTCACATCCTGACACATTATAAATAAATAAATAAAAACACAGTTACTTCACTTTATCTGGAAACTTTCTATAAAACTTTGCACAAGTTTAGGAGCTTTTAAATGCTGTTCATCCACCCACTCATGAAATGATTTAGGAAAATGTTTCCATTGCACTAAGAATTGTAGTTTTCCTTTTCGTCTATGGGACTCTAAAATTTCTTGGGCTTCGAAATGCTGCTCTCCCTCAATAACAATGGTGTGCTGGCGCTGAGGGAGATAGACGCCATCTAGTGGATTCTTTAAAGGGTTTTAATAGATTACGATGAAACACAGGGTGGGTTTTTCTGTAAGTCTTAGGCAAAGTCAGTCTGAATGACACAGGTCCAATCACTTTCTCTGTAGGGAAAGGTCCAATAGATTCAGGTCCCAGTTTTTTACAAGGTTGAGTTGTTTTTAGATGCTTTGTAGAGAGCCACACTTTATCCCCCACTTTCCAGGGTTTTTCTGGCGATCGCTTACGGTCAGCATACTTTTTATATTCTTTTTGCGCCTCCTGCAGCGCCACCTTAATGATTGGCCATAACGTAGTCATTTGCTTAATCCAATCATCTGTCGACTGTTCTGGGGAATCTTTCAAGGGAAGCTCCGGGATCGGCACAAAGTCCTGCCCTGTGGCTATTTTAAACAGTGTGTATCCAGTGTTTTGATGTGCGACATTATTATAAGCCACCTCTGCAAAGGGCAAACGTTCTGCCCAGTCATCTTGTTAATTAGTAAAGCATCTTAAATATTGTTCCAATACGGAATTAAGTTGTTCTGAAGATCCGTCCATCTCCGGATGGTGCGAGGAGCTCAGCACCTGAGTGGATCCAATTAATTTCAAAAACTCCCGCCAAAACTTAGAAGTAAACTGGATCCCGCAGTCACTGATCACTCTTTCAGGGGTATCGTGGAGGTGGTATATGTGCTGTATAAACATCTTGGCCAGACATTTGGTCATTGGGATTGAGGTACAAGGAATAAAATGTGCCTGCTTGGAAAATAAATCAGTGACCACCCAAATAACAGTCCGATTGATTGTGGCTTTGAGGCAATTCCACAATGAAGTCCATAGCTATTTGCTTCCAGGGCTTGTTAGGAGTTGCCACTGGTTGCAAACAGTCCCATGGGTTTACCCCCTTTTTTCTCGGACATGGCACACGTAGGACATGAGTTGACATAATCCATAATGTCTTTCCTCATGGATGCCCACCAGAATTGCCTGCAAAGGAGGTGTAAAGTTTTAACAAAGCCAAAATGCCCAGCAGTTTTGACGTCATGTCCTTTCATTCAAACTTGCTTCCGAAGTGATTCAGGCACATATAGCTTGTCTCCACACCACCACGCTCCCTTTTCTTCAGTTAAGGAGTTTCTATTGTTTATAAACCATGCATCGCCTTTGAGGGCTTCATTGAATCGATTCAACAGTTCATTATTGGGCAACACTCGTGGTTTTTTGCTTTGTGCTCTAGTGACAGCCACTAGATCCTCCTGGCTTCCAGGAATAACAGGAGCCACCACTTGTTCCCTTTTTCTGTTATGTTGAGGCAATCTGGAAAGGGCATCTGCCAGGAAATTTTTTCCCCCAGGGATGTATTTCAGCTCAAATGTGAATCTGCAAAAAATTGAGCCCACCGAACCTGCTTAGGGGAAAGTTTTCTTGGCGTGGTTAGTGCTTCCAGATTTTTGTGATCAGTCCAGACTTCAAAAGGATGGCATGCCCCTTCTAACAGATGGCGCTAAGTGAGCAGCGCCCAATGGACTGTGAACGCCTCCTTTTCCCAAACTAACCAGCGCCGTTCTGTGTCGGTGAACTTTTGGGAGATGTACACACATGGCTGTAGGCAACCCCCTTCCGGTTTCTGTAGCAGCACCGCACCAACAGCTACGTCTGAGGCATCAGCTCGGATTACAAAGGGAAGGTCCGATTAATTAATTGCATAAACACCCCAGGGGCACCCAATAACCCGAACAGCATGACTGGGTACTGATAACATCCCAAGGGGCAACTGAAAGCAGTTTTCCACTCATCCCCCTCCCGGATGCGTACACAGAAATAAGCGTCTCTGAAGTCCAGTTTCGTGAAAATTTCCCCCTTCGACAATTGTGCAAGTAAGTCCTTCATTAAGGGCAGAAGGTACTTATTTTCTTTACAGATTGCACTCAACCCCCTATAGTCAGTGCATAACCACAGCGTTCCATACTTCTTTTCTCTGAAGAGAACAGGTCCCGCCATCTGTGATTTGGCGGGCTGTATAAACCCCCTAGCCATGTTTTTGTCCAAAAATTCCCTGAGAGTCTCCAACTCACGGGGAGTCATGGAATATGTCTTCCGTTTGGGAAATTTTGCCCCTGGATCGATTTCTATAGCACAGTCGGTGTCTCGGGGGGGGGGAGGGGAGGTAGCTGATCCGACTCCACCTGACTGAATACTTCTGCCAAGTCGCGGTATTGTTTCAGAATCATGGGCTCGGGAGAGGGTTGTTTGTTTTCCATGCCCACCACTGCTAATATTCCTTC